CAATTAGAGCCCACGCTCGAACATTGGTTGTATATAGTTGTGCCTGCAACAATAAGTGGTTTCCTCAAGGGGTAAGTCACTCAGCACATTATGCCGAAATTATATTCTACACAGCTTGGGCACATCCATCGGCACATTTTCGGCATACCTTCGGCACAATCTCGTCATTCAAGTTGTTCAGAACATTACGTGCTGTTTGACTGTATGTTCAGGAACATCTTCTAAAGGGCGAACACGAAATTATTGCGACACATTCAACAGGGCATAACTTTTTTACCATTGGGTAAAAATCAACCAAATTTTGCACACTTTCTCATTGATGTGTATTGTGTACATGCTGTCAAACTCGAAGTCGTGTTTTTCGATTCAACGAGAATGGAGGTGAACCAACGCGAGTTGAGAGAACAAATTCTTTCCAAACACCTAGAATTTCCTGACCTGTCGCACTGGCAGTTGGGAAAAATGTTGAACATTCACCATTCAACCAACAATCAATACGAAACTAACGATTTTAAATTGGCTCACCACTTTAGTAGCCTATTGGTCCCAAGCAAACGATTAACGTACCCTATTCTAGTCGAAATTCTAGTACTACGCAATGTTTGTTTTGATTCGCTATGAAAGTTTGACAGATAAAATAAGGGGTTATTGGTTTTTCCTATGTTTCGAGGGGTGATTCGACAAGCTTGGGACCGAAGATAGTACCAGAGGTGAGCCAAAAAGTTGAGCACGTTTCTTTGGGACCTACTTGTCTTAGAGTTACCTCTATGATTCAACCGTCTCCAGAGTGTTGAAGCGGTTCCAGGAGCGGTTGACGTTGGACCACGGCAAAGGAGCTGGAAGAAAACCGGGACCGGAGAACAAAAAGACGGAGGGAAAGGTGAAGCGGATGATTAAAGCAAATCCCAACGTCTCAAGCCGTGATTTGGCTAAAAAGATCGGCATGTCGCAGAGCTACGTCCAGAATGCAAAGAAGAGAGCTGGACTACATACATACAAGGTACAGAACTTCCCAAACCGCGATGAGCGGCAACAATCGACGGCTAAAACTCGGGCACGGAGGCTCTACGAGAAGATGCTGACAAAATATGGCTGCTGTGTGATGGACGACGAAACGTATATAAAAGCCGATTTTAAGCAAATTCCGGGGTTGGAGTTTTTCACCGGCAAGAGCAAGTTCGATGTGGACGACAAATTTAAGAAGAAGAAAATGTCGAAGTTCGCCTCCAAATATCTCATTTGGCAGGCCATCTGCTCTTGCGGACTGAGGAGTGAGCCTTTCGTGACAAAGGGCACAGTAAATGGCGAGATCTACAAATCTGAGTGCCTCGAGAAGCGCCTTTTGCCGTTCTTGCAGCAGCACGACGAAGCTCCGCTATTTTGGCCAGATTTGGCATCATGCCACTATTCTAAAAGTGTCCTGGAGTGGTATGAGGCCAATTCTGTCCATTTTGTTCCAAAGGACATGAATCCACCAAACTGTCCGGAGCTGCGCCCGGTGGAGCAGTACTGGGCAATAATGAAGCGGGAACTTCGGAAGAGCAAGAAGACAGTCAAAGACGAGAAGGACATGTTAAGAAAATGGAAAAAAAAAAAAACTGAGAAACTGGTACCGGATGACACTGTAAAGACCTTGATGGAGGGCATCAAGTGAAAATGCGTTCAATTTTACACTCAAGGCTCCATCGATTAACTTTTCTTTTGATTTTTGAAGTAAATATATGTATAAAACTACCCTAAAATTTTGGTTTGATTCTAAACATTATAAGAAAATTGGCATGACATTTTCGGTGTCGCAATAATTTCGTGTTCGCCCTTTAATTGAATATATCAGAGGAACTCAGACCACCAGTTCTCTTATAGATCTAAATACGAAATGTAGGTTCTAGAGTGGGCTCAAGAGAAAGAGGCAGTTAACCAGAACTCATTAGTACCCTTAATTCTAACTAAACAAACTAAAGAAGTTTATTCATCAAGCTCTATAGTCGGTGTTCAACAATGCTACCCACCGGTTCCAACTCTTTCCGGCCGAAAGGCTAGGTTTCTGGTCTGCCTTTGAGGGCATTATAAAACACTAAAACACAGGACTTTTATTACCCTATGGATCACAAACCACTGGAATTTCGCACACCCGCCACTTCCCGCGTCATCCTCAATCCGATTTATCCTTGCGATTTCAAACCAAAGCATTCAAGGTGTCAGAAATACCGGGTTACCGGGATGGGTATTTTACTAACAATCGCAGCTTGCTCTATGACCGGCACAATCGGCATACTTGCGGCACACTGACAAAAAAGATGACCCAAGATTGATGTGAGGAGTGCGCATGTCGATTTCCATACAAACTGGTCAACTTTGACATGATGTAACTTTGTTAACTTATGATCAATTGGGTTCTTTAAGGATATTGAGGTAAATGTATATTCGTAATCTGCATTACAAATGGAACCCAAACCCAAAATTTCATAAGTTTTGGTACACTGGAACTATTTTAAATAAGTACGGTTACATTTACAAAAATCACCTTATTTGCGCCCCTTGGTGTCACTTTGTATGGCAGCGAGCTGTCAGTTTGTCAGTTTAGTGTCAAACTGTGAAGTTATTATTTTGCTTTAAATCTTGATTTAAAAATCGAGATGAAAGTGTGTGGGTTCGAAAAAAAAAATATCGCAGTGCTCAGAAAACGAAGCTCTTTCAGATGATATATAAAAACGGATATATTTTTTAAAATTAAAGAACCCAATTGAGCTGAAACCACCGACAAACCGACATGAATGACCATACACGGCGAATGAGAACGACCCAAATTTGAGCTTAGTTCACTCATAATCGCCAAAAGTGCAGGAACTGATGTAAAATTTGTCTCATGGTTTCCTGTGGAAAACTTAAAAAATCTGCCGGAAAATGAGGAAATTGACGGAAATTTTATTCAGTCTCGGAGTAGTACCAATAGACTGAGTGAATCCAATCTTTACCTTTCTCAAAATCGAGAATTTTTCCCTGGAAAAGCCTGGAAAAACCTGGGAAAACATGAGGCAAATTTACTCATGGCTGAGTTCCTGCACTTTTGGCGATTATGAGCGAACTAAACTCAAATTTGGGTCGTTCTTATTCGCCGTGTAGCAAAAACAATAAAATTTCTAGCCATAGCACATTACTGACATCTGGCTCCGTGTTCGCGGGAAATATGTAGCTAACCCATGAACCCGCATGCAAAAAATATGAATTGGTTCGTGTCTGATCTATTCTGGACAAATTATTTTTATCTATACCAAAAAATCCTATGGTTTTGACAGTTCGGATCACTGCACGGTAATCGCAAAAAACTCTTTTATGACTAGAGATCCTTCCTCAAGCGGTGCCGGTGGTGTAGTGGTAAGCGTGATTACCTCTCACCCCAGCAGGCCTGGGTTCAATCCCAGTCGGCGCCGCCGGGATGTTCTGAGGCATAACATCTCTGATCACGCCTTCCTTCGGAAGGGAAGTTAAGCCCTTGGTCCCCGGTTCATGAGTTGATGATGGGTCGATAGGGTGTGAGAGCTGCCTCCTGGCGTCGGTAGCATTGGTGCTCAGCACGGAAAACAAGATCAACGGAAAACAAATCAAAGGAAAAAAAATAGAGATCCTTCCTTTTTCTAGAGATGAACAAGCATTTAAAAAATATGCAAGGAAACTGTTGATGAAAATCATGATTCAATAGTTTGATTTTCAGCGCGTGCACTCAGTGAACCAGCGCGACTGCTGCAAGGTTAAACTAAATATCCCCAGATAACAGCGATCAATCAAAGAAGGAATCTAGTACATTTGGCATAACGGACATTTAACATAATTCAGTGCCAACATTGCAAAGGGGCGTAATTGCATTAGTAAACAATGACTTTAGCCGTCGATTTCTCGCGGATAAAAGTTCACTTAGGAAAACTAATGACACCAACTAACAGGTAGAGGAATTTTTCTTCTGCAAGCTAGCATTGTTGAATTGGAGGGGTGAGCTTTTATTTGCGAGATATCGACGGCTAAAGCCATTATTTACAAAAGTAATTACGCCCCTTTGAAATGTTGACACTGAATTGCTATTATTCGATATAATTTAAAACCCAAGGGTTAATTCACAATCTATGATTATTCCTTCTTTTAATTGCTGCTCGTCTTTTCGAAATATCCACGTTCTTTCATGGTATTTAAGGGCCTTGGCAGAACTGCTCATGTTTGAAAGAAGGAAAAATCTGCTGCAGCAATATTAGCCATAACTAATACCCAAACCCAAACATATTCTATGCGTTCATGTTTTGTGTTCAGAAGATATTTACGAAATTATCTTTTGCAATATGCACCTTAAGTTTTTTTTCTTAAGGTGCAACTGTACATCAGATAATTAACTTTTGTATTTCACATATTGATAACCTACTCTCTTAACTTCTCAGCAAAGAAAATATTATTTTTCATCAAGTCGCCATGACTTCAGTTTAAATGGGGCAATAGTTTGACAATTGAACCGTTAAAACAGTTTGTTGAACTTTTCTACATTTAAATCATTTAGGGCACTAAGTTGCTAAATATTTATTTGTGAGCTAACTGCAAGTTGCTGCACCTGCAGCAAACTTCATTTTAAGGCATGGAAACTTAACTCTTTATTTGTGGTATAGATCATTAGTAACCTAAAAACTGAGGTGGGATTTTATATGGCAGTATTATGGTAAAAATAAAAATTCTATTACTTGGAAGGACTTTAAAGTAAAAATGATTTGAGGTTTCCTGAGTGTTATTTTGAGTCACCCTACTAAACAATAATATTTTAGTAGAAGTAGGGAAAGCTATTATGACGTATTGCACAAGTTTATTTACAAAAAAAGTCCATAGCAAAACAAATGCAATGAGAAATTGTCTTACAGCGTTATAGCATAGGTAAAAAACAAAGAAAATTTGTAGCTTATGGAAAAGTACTGTCGTGTCGTGACGTTTGGCTATTGATCCCGTTAAATCCAAACGCGCTCACATACCTTAATGATGTTTCGTTGGTTTTGCTCCAGTTCCCGCCGGTTCAAGGGCCGAACCCGAACCGCCACCCTGATATTCTGGCAATCTGCCATTGTTTTTTTAATTTTCCGCTGATTCAACTGTTGCAAGGGATTCTCCACCAGCAAATACTCCCGTTCACCGCTTCCTTTGATTTATCACTGTTTTCACACTTCCGGAACCGAACCTAGAAAGCCAACCGCCGCTGCCGAACGAACATCAACAGTAAAAATAAATTTTAATCCGAAATAAACGTGAAATAACCCGAAACGACGGCAGTTGCCCACCGACCGGAATGACCGTTGTTCTTGTTTTGCTTCCCGGGGTGGTGCTGGTGCAGTGCGCGTAATAAGTGAAAGAAAAAAGAAGAAAAATCGAAAAAAGCTTTCGTTGAATTTTAACTTTTAATGAACTGCTTTATCGACCTGTCGAATTGTCATATAGTGCAGCACTTGTATGGTTCCTATACCTATCATCATCAAGAAAGTATAGTGCATCAAGAAAGACCGTGTGAAGTTCTCTGCGGCATGATGTAAAAGTGTTGTGTGATCAAAACATTCGAAGTTATATTTTTCGGAAAATTCTAATTATTGCGTTATTTTTAATTGTTAATTACAATGGCTTCAATTACCCGATTGGTGGGGAAGCCAGTACTACAATTCCAGGTTCGGATTGTAGGCTCTCGATGGCAATCTACCCAGCAGGAGCTGGACACTAGAAAGCATGCCGACGATGAAGGTAAACTACCAGCATAATAATTATTGTGTTTTTTTGTTGACTGATTTTAGTCAGGCATCACAAATTTCCACTAATAAGCTTCGTTTTGTAGAATTTCGGGTACTTAATTTCAAGCAAGTTAAAGCCCAGCGGATAGTTCGGCGCAAAGCGCCCAAGTTGGAAGTGCCACCACCAAGGTAAGTCGATTTATTTATGCCCGAAAGGTAAGCTTAATTCACATTCCCTGCATTACGTATATCAGATCAAATCAGATGGCCACCGATCAGGACTGGGGCGCCGTTTGGCCGGGTCCGAAAACCTTCAATCCCTCCACGGTTCCTTTACCACTACGTCAGGGCTACACTATGAAAAAGCACCAGGTTCCACCGGGCAAGTTCGCCAATGCCGAACTGATGAAGATTCCGAACTTCCTTCATCTCACACCGCCGGTTATCAAGCAGCAATGCGAAGCATTGAAGCAATTTTGCAATCCCTGGCCAAAAGCGCTCGACACCGAGGAGAAGATGAAGCAACACTTTCCAGTGGATTACATCTCGACCGACTATTGTCACGCTTTGCCGACCATTCGCAATCCTCTATCGCGTATCGTTACGGTTCAGTTGAAGGTCGATACCCTGAAGCTGAACAAGCACGCTAAAGATAAGTTCCTACGGTTGGTGGGAGAGCGATACAAGCCGGACACGGATGTGTTAACCCTTGTGACGGATCGCTGTCCGTTGAAGAAGCAAAATTACGACTATGCCTTGTATCTGTTGACGGCACTGTACCACGAGTCCCATGTGGTTGAACCATGGGAGGAGACGAAAACGGAAGCCGATATGGAGTATTACGATTTCCAGCGGAATCGTGCCAAGGTAAGTTCGGAATCGATTTTGAATTGGGGTAAAGCCGACGGAGAACAGCGAGTGGATGCACCGGCGAGCTATGCCAATTCTGTGGAGCAACTGTTCAACGAAGGTGAAAATGAGTACAACTTGCAAAAGTATAAGGAACAGACGGTAAGGTTGTTAGGATTTGTCCAGTGAGTGCTTCTAATGGGGGTTGCTTTCTTAGATTTGTTTCGAACTTAGGAAATATAACATAAGATACAATTTTGATTCTATTCACTTGGTATGCGATAATTTCACATTAGTAAACATATTTATTGCAAGATATGCAAGGAAAACATTGTAGTGATAACTTCGATATACAAAAGGTGAAATTTATTATAAAATCTATATTCGAAATTACCTTTCAGTCACTTGCGTAAGCATAGAGTTGATAGTTCCGTTAGAGTACGGCAGTGTGAAGATTGCATATAGATATTAGAATAGCGAGCTAGGACAACTTTTAAGGAACGTACAAATCGGTTTTTTCATCTCTCTTTACCAAACTCCCCCTTTGGAGAGGGATGGTGAGGGGTGTGTCCCCCCCCCGCCACCACTGGCAAAAAGAGATGAAAACCGACCCGTTCAAGTACCAACTGTGAGTTTGAAACAGTTCTACCGATTTTTACCGCACTTCAATTGTTATTTGAAGGAAGGCATGAAAAAACCGATTTGTACCTTCCTTAAAAGTTGTCCTAGCTCGCTATTCTAATATCTATATGCAATCTTCACACTGCCGTACTCTAACGGAACTATCAACTCTATGCTTTCGTCTACTCCATCTATCGTATAAAAATTACCACTACAGTCTGTTATTTGAAATTAGCATCTTCAACTATGTAAATCGTTGACTTCACGTAGAAGTAATACTAAAACATATAGTCAAAGCATTATAATTAGGTTTATATGTTTGAATCTCCATATATTTCGCAAAGGCAACTAAGCCTTCAGATTTCTGCATATATGTTGCTCTTAGTTCCCTGACACTATCTGGTTTCAAGATATTGGAAACATTCGAAATACCTGGTACAAAGTAGACCCCAATAACTAGTCCTCATGCACGTAGGTGACGAAAACAGCCCGCCAAGAGCGAAAAGGCAAAGAGGCAAATTCAAGAAGGTTCTACCTTGCAACTTTTCCTCGACATTATTTATTCCATTGATATTTCAGTGCCAACATTTCAAAGGAGCGTAATTGCATTTGTGAACAATGACTTTAGACGTCGATTTCTCGCGAATGAAAGCTCACTCATAAAAATGAATGATACCAACAGGTAGAGGAATGTTTCCTGTACCAGTTAGCATTGGTAATTTGGAGGGGTGGGCTTTAATTAGCAAGACATCGACAGCTAAAGCCATTGTTTACAAAAGCAATTACGTCCCTTTGAAATGTTGGCACTGATTTAATGAATGGGCGTAATTCCACGCGGATTCTGCAGAAAACTTCTAGGGAGTTCTGAAAAGTATTCTCAAGGACTTTCGTGGAGAATTTCATGGTAAGGATGAAAAGAATTCAATAGATTTTTCGAGGTGAACTTCAGAGTATTTCTTTGATGAATTCCAAAGGTATTATGAGTAAAACTGTTTGGTAATCATGAGGGAGTGAAAGGCGAAGCCCAGGAGTATTCCAAAAGACAATTCAAATGACAATTCCAAGGGATTTCCTAAGCACTATTTCAATCATATTCTGACAAGAGCTCCAAAGAACTTCCCTTATAAAGATAACCATAAGAAAGACTGGTTCGGGGTACCATCCAAACCATGTGTGGGATAGTTCTACTATACGGGTTATTGTTCGTTTATGGTATTTGTTTATAGGGGTTATGACATGAATTCCAAGAGTATTTCGATAATAATTCCAAGGAAATTTAAATCTCAAAAGCTTTCCAAAGGACTTTCCAACTTTCCATAGGACCTCTATGGAGAAAATAAATTTTTGGACAACAAACCAAGGGGAGATAAATTACGGCGAATTCTTAAGGTGTTCTGGTTCAGAATGTTTGGGGACAGTTCCAGGAAAACTCTGAAAAAAAAAAATCTGTTGAGATTTGCAACGAAATTGTTAAGGTATTAACATATAGATGAAAGTTTATCCCCTCCCCTTGGCTAGTTTTTTAACCTGGACGTTGGTGGGCGGGCCTAATCTTATGCTTCATAGTGGAGCGTTGGAGACGGTTGGCTTAGGTCCGGCATCGTTGGCTCATGCCGTGACAGAATAGCGTCATGAGCATGCGATGAGGATTACTGAGCTTCCCCTCTCTGATGAACCATTGCATAAGAGAACCAAAGTTCTAGCCTGAAGTGATAGTATCACACTTGTTACTCCTTTATTTGAAAGCCGCGTTGTAGTACGCTTACGTATAGGCACTGACGTTGGGTGCGATACTGGCGGGTTTTGCCGCAAATCACTCTTATTTTTTTACGCAGATAAATTATTTGGGTTTGCAAGGGAATTATACTATTGAAATATTTCAGAAAGTACCCATCAGTGCTCCTTCTACTTGCGTGACAAGCTTTCGTTGTTGTTTTCATTGAGGTATTACTCAGGGAACAATGTTAAACACCATTTTTGTACATGGTATTGCAACTAATCTTATATGTGCTTCATTTTGATTTGGGAGAAATGTTTGAACTATGGCTCGAGATTTCCACTGTGGTGCGCTTCTATTGTGACATAACCATACGTAATTTTGTGGGATGACATAGTGGAAACGTGTGAGCGTAGTTGGAGCATATACCCAATGTAATTTAAAATCAGCTAGGAAACTAACTTCAAAATGAAGCATTTTAGTCACTTGAATGGGTCACCTGAGACGAACTAATATATATTAAATACACTGGAGTCGCTTTTTACGCGGGTGATACGTCCCGCGTAAAAAAAAACGCGTAAAAAAACCGCGTAAATTCCGGAATCCGCGTAAAAAAACCGCGTAAATTCCGAAATCTGCGTAAAAAAACCGCGTAAAAAAAGACCGTGTAAAAAAAACCGCGTAAAAAGCGACTCTAAGGTAGGGGAATTTACGTATTGTCGTCAATCTAAGCAGCGTCCGCACTTCTATTAGCATTTTGTCAGCGTTACGCACATATATCACGTGTCTGTTTGTTAACATTCATCTGCTGATTGCTTCTCTATCCATTCCAATCGACAGAATTTTTCAAACCGGTTTGAAAGCGATTTTACAACGCTCCAAACTTCTCAGGTGAGTGTGACTATTGTCGGCAGCCTCTTTTTCTTCGGCAACCTTCCCATTAGAACTGCGTGTTAATCAGCTGTTCTATTATCGGCAACTCGAAATCAGCCCCATTTTGTAGTGCGTATACTTCATTTGAAGAAAAATCTGGCATAATAGGATTGCTCGGTCGTACAAATATAATCAGATTGAAGCTGAAAGACTAAATAATCGTTTGAATACATTCAGGGAAGTGTGTTGATGGGAAAACATAGTGAAATTATCGTTTAAATTTTGGTTGCCGAAAACAGTCAATGGGTGCCGAAGCCAACATTTACCCTATAATGATAAACCGCGTAAATTCTGATATCCGCGTAAAAAAAACCAAAATCCGCGTAAAAAAAACCGCGTAAATTCCGGAATCCGCGTAAAAAAACCGCGTAAAAAAAAACCGTGTAAAAAAAACCGCGTAAAAAGCGACTCCAGTGTATAGGTCAAATTAAAAAACAACTTGAAACACGTTAAATTTCAGATTACATTCACAAGTGCAGGTACTTACGTAAAACTACATAATTCGCATAAAATGTAAGTAAATCATCAATCACTCAACGAATCGATTACGTAAGTAAATATACTTCCAACTAATTAAAAATGGAAAATAACATCAAATTGAGTCGCCAACTAATTCAGTTGAAACTAAACTGTTGACAATTGAAAGCATAGTTAACTTTAACATAATTTTGATAAAACAATCATTTCATCCAGTTCACTTTAAAACAAACAAGTATGAAAGGAGATTGCTTAGAATAAAGATAAAAGTAATAAGCGCAATATTAAACGACATTAAATTTGAATCTGATACGGTAGGCCATATAACAGAGTCGATAGCCATTGCAAATCAACCATCTCTACCTGCTTATTTTCCTAACTTTCACTATTATTGCTGTTACTCTGACTATCCCCTATGTTCAACAGCTTTCCTTACTATCCGGTATCGTAAACAGGATTCATTTGACCCCTGTGGTTATTATTCTGTGATGCCAAATCTATACCTCTACCCTGGTGCAGTATGGACAGCGATTTTTCGCTGGTGACTTGGCCATATGACCCCCTTCTGTGCTTGAAAATGAAAATGAAAATGAAACATATAGATGAAAGTTTATCCTATTTCTAAATTAAATTCTGGTCACTTAGAATCCGGACACATAAAACCAGGTGTTTCTCGGGATTGATTTGACGTAAGAAAAATATAATTTAGTCAAACTGAAGGTACTTTCATAAAAAAAATGCAAACATACTCCGACGGCGTTCGGATGAACTCGCGGACTTTCTTAGGAACTTCCGCGATCATCTGCCGCTCACTGGGCTGGTCAACCTCAGGGGCCATTTTTCCGAGGGGGGCGACACATCTAAATCTCAAGTTTAGATGCTCAACAAATCTCACACTAGCGAATCAATCTTCGAACAATCTTCTTTCATTTGTCGCATCTACTTGCATCGCTCATCAAGTTTTTGCAAGAAATCTTCAAAATCGTCATCAATCTTCTTTCTATCTACTCAGCGTGCGCGCAGGTAGCTACAGCAAAACACAATCTTTTTTGCATCGTAGATAGAGTCGTCCACCTCGCATTTTTCCACAATGGAGCCATCTGTGCAGCGTCTTGAGTCGTTGTTCTAGTTTTCTTTAACTTCCGCTTGATAATACTGAACCACAGACAAACAGACATAACACTCGCAAGTTGTTCATCGAACAAGCATTTAATGGTCAATTTAAAAGTATCGTAGTTGGTAGTACCGCCACCTGTGGCGCGCATAGTCATTTTCGTTGCGTTTGACGTTTACACACTACCGCCATCTGTTCAGCGTATTACCCACCACAAAGTACTCAACAGATGGCGCTAATGTTTCAGCGACGATGTTTTACAGTGAGAAATATTCAATGTGTTATGTCTGTTTGTCTGTGACTGAACAATACTTTTCGATTGGACGGAATTGCGATCAGTTGGGTGGATTGATATCCTTATCGACGAAATCCACCTTATTGTCGCGGTACCACCG